GAGGCAGAGACACAGGCAGAGGGAGAAGCAGGCTCCATGCAGGGAGGCTGATGCGGGACTCCATCCTGGGTCTCCAGGATTATGCCCTGGGCTGAAGGCGGCTCTAAACCGCTGAGCCACCCAGGCTGCCCAGGAATTGTTATATGAAAAAGAAAAACATTGTATTTTTACATCTGTTCTCCAGACTGAAAACATGGTGTTCCTCCACAATAACAATAGTATCCATTAAAAAAAAAAAAAAGTTGTAATTTGCCTTCATCTTCCCAAAGGGAATCCCTGTTAGCAGTTTCTAAGTATCCTTCTAGGAAAAAGAAAAAAAAAAATTATATGTATACTAGTCTATATGGGTTATATTCTTCACAGTTAATTCTTTTATCCATCTGTGATTTTAATGTAGCCTGTGAAATTATATAATTACTTCTATTTTAAAAAATTAATTAGTTGTTCCAACTGCATCCTACTTGCCAATAATAAATTGGCAATCAGTTGGAAATTGGCTGGTTGCCCTACTCATTTAGTAAGGCTGAGATACTATCTCCAATCCTTGATTGAAACCTGTGTCTACCTATAGATTTTGGCTAGAATTTTTATGTACCTCTCAGCCCTGTTCATTGTAGGAAAGCTTCTAGTTGGGTACATTAGGCTCTTTTGTTTTATAAAGATAGATGCACAGAAATTCTGTCTCTTTCTCTCTGGCTTCTGTTTATCCAGTGGGTCCACTGCCTTCTCTGTGGATTGGATCACAGTTGGCAAGAGACCTGAATTAAGTAAAACATTGGAAGATAAAGTACAAAGATGATATTTTCTAAATTGTCTTATATAACCTGAATTAAACCATGAGGAAATGACAAGCCCGAAGTAAAAGCTATGTTAAAACACCTGGCTTGCACTCTTCAAAAGTGCCAATGTCATGAAAGACAATGAAACGTTAGAGTGTCCCCGATTAAAGACAACTCCAGAGAGTGCCTGCAAAATGCGGTGGGATCCCGGATTGTGGGAGGGAAGATTGCCATGAAAGACAGCATTGTACTCATTGGTGAGATTGGAATGTGAGTTGGATGTTAGATAATTGTACCAACATTAAATTTCTTGCATTTGATAATTGCACTGTGGTTAATCCTAATTTCTGATTCTTGATGACATTAGCGACCAACTTTTTCTTAATTATGGTAGATTCAGGAGTTTTAGCTTACTTGAATCTTCCGCAGAGGAAGAAGAAAAAAATAGCCTTGTTTTTCAGTATCTTGTAAAAATTCTCCCCAGCATGGTGAACTGTGGTGCCCCCTTGTGGTGAGAGTTCCCTTCATTCTCGAGAACTCTTCATTCTTCAAGAACTGGAGATTTTCACTGTCACCTCAGAAAAAATTTTCAAAGCCCATTATGTGTCCAGCATCTGCAAAGTGTCAAGGATACGTAAGCTCCTTTTGGAGCTTCCAAGTACACACACAAATATGGAATCACACACCAAAAGGAGGGTCTCAAAAGTGTCCTATTACATAGGTTGATTATTTCTAAAACCTGGCATGAAACAGAAGGGAGACTTTCCTGTCTCAGTTTTATATTCAGTTTGGGGCAGCCCTTCCCCACGGCTGTTGGGCATTACCTGCTCTGGACCAGATGGTCTGGGTCCCTGCTTGCCTCATCACTACTTACGACTGATAATCATAGTTAGTGCTTTCCTACCTGTGACTTAACATAATTTTTTTAAGGTACATATGGGAAAAAATGAGATGACATTAATCAAGCCCACCCCTCTGAGGGACAGTGTATAATTTGCAACCACAGAGGACCCAACAGACCCCACCCGAATCAGTGGCAGATGGAGAGCCAGCCCTCTTCTTCCTGCCTGTTTTGTCTGTCCGATTACCCACAGCAACAGCTCGTTTCTAGCTGCAGAGCTGGATTACAGTGACTTGAGCAAGGGGCTAGTCTGTGGGGTTCACAGTTCTTCGTGTTGTAGGCACTGAGCGGTGGCCCGCGGTGAAGGACACAGGAGAAAGACCGTAATGATGTCATAATGTGGAGGCTGGGGGCTAGTTTACCCAACCCAGGTGATGCAACAGTGTTGCACAGAATCACCCACATGGTCTGATGCACTGTTTAAAAAAGGAAGAGGACAGTTTGCTCAAACAGACACAGTTCTAATATTTGGAGAATTCAAGTAAATAATAGATAATAGCAATGCTTGTAGAATAGAGAATGTGTTTCTAAGTATTGGATGTAGAGATTTTAAACTTTTTTTTTTAAAGATGTTATTTATTTATTCATGAGAGGCACAGAGAAAAAAAAAAGAGAGACACAGAGGGGGGGGGGCAGAGACATAGGCAGAGGGAGAAGCAGGCTCCTCATGTGGAGCCCGATGCGGGACTTGATCCTAGGATGACACCTTTAGCCAAAGGCAGATGCTCAACCATGGAGCCACCTAGGTGCCCTGATTTTAAACATTTTATTATGGACAATTTCTTCAAACAAAAGGAGAGGTAGAACAGGGTCATGAACCCCATGTATCCATCATGCATCGTCCACTCTCCCCTGGGTTATTTTGACATTATATTACTTATGGGCATAATAATTGTTGACAATCATCTTTTTTCTTCATTGAAAGAAGACAACTCTGTGATGTTTATTTGGGTTTGCCCCCTCCCCGCCCCGAGGAAGCGTAGCATAGAGTCAGAACATGGGCCTTGGAGCCAGAGCACCTGGGTTAGAATTGGGCTCGGTCTCCTACGAGCCCCTGTGACTCTGGGCAAGTGGGTAAACCTCTCCGGGTCGCCTGTCTGTAGATGTCCAAAGTCAGTCATAAGCATATGTCGGCTCTCCCCATTGTTATTCTTTTTTTTTTTTTTTGAAAGGTATTATTCATGAGAGACACAGAGAGAGAGGCAGACACATAGGCAGAGGGAGAAGCAGGCTCCTTGCAGGGAGCCCGATGCTGGACTCGATCCCAGGACCCTGGGGTCATGACCTGAGCTAAAGGCAGACGCTCAATCACTGAGCCACCCAGCCGTCCCTCCCCATCATTATTCTATAGGACCTCCGTGTGTGCTAATTGGCTGTCTTCACATCTGCTTCTTATTTAACCCTCCAACAGTCCTGAGAGTGCCTGAATCTGGAGGAGGTGAAATCAGAGGTTTGCAAACTTGTCTGCAGGAGTCATCTGGGCAGCTTCAAAAGTTACTGATGCCTGTCTGCTCACCGTGGAGACTGATTTAATTGGTTTGCGCCCAGGCGTGGGTGTAATTAAAGATCCCCAGGTGATTGTAGTGACACGTGTGGGAACAAGCTTCAGGACCTAGAGGCAGCCAGACCCCCAGTCAGCTCTCTGCCATCTCTTTGTGGCAACAGTGACTTGGGAGCCAGGACCGGGTTTATCATCTGATTTCCAGGCCTAGTTCCACCCTACACCCTCACCAATCAGAGCAGATTTCACACCAGGCTTTATGTGTAAAGTTTTGTGTTTTAGTTTTAATACCAAGTACCTAAATAAAACAAGGAAAAATAAAAACACAGCATTCATCCCATTCTAGGTGCTGTCCAGGAGACATGGTGTAGCAGTGGCAGAAACAAGTATTTTTTTTTTTAAGATTTTATTTATTTATGAGAGACAGAGAGAGGCAGAGACACAGGCAGAGGGAGAAGCAGGATCCATGCAGGGAGCCCGACATGGGACTCGATCCATCCGGGGTCTCCAGGATCATGCCCCAGGCTGAAGGTGGCGCTAAACTGCTAAGCCAACTGGGGCTGCCCAGAAACAAGTACTCTTTGAATGCATTTCCATCTTGCACTGATCAGTCAATGAAAATAAGTGATTGTAAAAAAAGAAAGAAAAGAAGTGGTTGTTTGTATCGGTTCTCCATTGCCATAGATTCTAAATATCGATCACAGAATCTCAGCGGCAGACAAAATGAGCACAGCTAACACCTGTGTGTCGCCTGGTGGTGGGCTGCTCTTAGCTGGGGGCCGTGAGGCTGGGTGGCTCCACTCCATGTGTCTCTCATCTTCCTGCTGGGCCCAATGGGCTAGCTAGGGAATGTTCTTCTCACACTGAAGGCAGAGGTACAAGGAAACCAGCCCTACTTCGGTATGAGTGGACTGGAAACATCACCTGCGCCCCGTCTGCTAATGTCCTATTGACCAAAGCAAATCAAATGACTGAGCAGCCCAAAGTTAAGGGGTGGGGAGGTATGCCCCATGTACTTTGAACTGAGCCCAAGCACTCGTGGTCAAGCCTAACATTAATGGAAAGGAATGTACTCTCTTCCCATGGAAAGGACAGAGTGGGTGATTTTGAACCTGAAATCTGTTACAGATGTAAACATGGAAGGTGAATTCATAAGTGTTAAAGGTAGCAGGAGTTGCAACAGTTTTAGGTATTAAACATAGAAAAATACTTAGATGAAAGAGAATACATGTCCCCAGTAAAACACCAAGCAGCTATTTAAAATTATGTCGAAAATGTCATTGAGGGGATCCCTGGGTGGCGCAGCGGTTTGGCGCCTGCCTTTGGCCCAGGTCGCGATCCTGGAGACTGGGGATCGAGTCCCACATCGGGCTCCTGGTGCATGGAGCCTGCTTCTCCCTTTGCCTGTGTCTCTGCCTCTCTCTCTCTCTCTCTCTGTGACTATCATAGATAAATCAAAATTAAAAAAAATAAAATAAAAATTCATTTCTGTTTAAAAAAAAAAAAAGAAAATGTCATTGAAAATTATTCATGCCACAAAGTGGGGGAATATATATATGTATTGTGCTCCCAAGTCTGAGAAAAACTATGTATATTCATATTTCAGTAGATTAAGAGATGTGTGCCAAATTGTTAACGATAGTCTGTGGTTAGAATTACAGAATATTTTTATTTCCTATTTCCACTCCTCTGAATTTTCGACATTTTCTATGATGAATATGCATTACTTATTGTAATCCGAAAAACATTTTAAACTGTTAGATGTGGAAATTAAGATTAGGCATTTTTACTAATTCCCTTTTCTCTAATCTGTCAATAGGCAGCAAAATAATGGAGAATGGCCTTCTCTTCAAAGAACTTCTGCAGACTCCAAATTTTCGAATTACCGTGGTCGATGACGCAGACACTGTTGAACTTTGTGGTGCTCTTAAGGTAAAGTCAGCCTTGTTATTTCTGCTCAAGGAAGGAGCTCACCATGCCTGCCACTGTCCGCATTATCGAATCTAATCCTGATGACTGGGCTCTGTGTTCTGTGTTTGTCCTTCAGAGAAAAATAGTGAATCGAGAGCCTTGTGGATCACTTCCTGCTTTCTCCTAGCCTGTCCTGAGTGGCTGGAGTTCCTCTTCCATTCTGCTTCACTTTTATTTGTAAATCTGGGGGCGGGGTGGAGGGGGGAAAGTGTGGTGTTTTGCTCTTTGGGAAATTGGCAGCTGTAATATTTTAAAAAGCATGGAGAATACCTTGATTTCAGGTAGAGTTTTACAGGGGAGCAAAGCATTCTTTTTTTCCCCCTATGAATTCATATATTTCTCTTACATATCATCTTGAGTAGGGAAGGGGACTAACTCCCTCTGAATTATGCCACTCGTTTGGTTTCATGGCTTGGTTGATTGTTCTTTTTAAAAGAAAAATAGTCTGTTGCTGCCAAAGGCCTTTCTAAGAATAGTTTTAGCTTTGTCCATAAAGGGAAGTGGTCCAATTAAAGAAGCAGCTTCTATTGGCTAGTGGCTGGGAAGGGTAAAGGGAAGAGTTTCCACGCGGGCTCCTGACCTGTTCCACTCTGCCTGTGGAAGTCTTGGTGGCGGGTCCCTCTCTAGCCTGACTCCTGGGAGACAGCCAGTTTGGGAGCTGGGCTGCACTTTCGCATCCTTCTCCCACTAGGATCAGCTGCTTGAGCTGCCTTCTCAAAAAAAAAAAAAGCTTCAGTGTGAATGAATACCCCCCTTTGAGTCACTTTTGAGTCATTTCTTTTGTAGCAAAAGCCACTTTTCAGGAATTTGAGCACCTCAGGAAGGAAGTCACGCAATCTGGCATTTGCTTAGGCTTTGTCAGGTAAAAATTGCAAAGATTGAAAGCTAGCTGAAAAGACAGGAATCCAAAGAATGCCTTCCCTGCTCTTTCTCTAAATTGTAGATACAGTGTTTTTTTTCTCTCATCAGAATTTACATCCACTTTGTAGAATAGTATCGTGTGTGTTTGTGTGGTCACATGTTCCTGGACCATGAGGATTTTTAAGAATGAAAGCCAGTGAAAGACTGGGGCTCCTGGAGAGCACACACCTCTATTTCTGAATGTTTGTGTGGGGCATTCTTCACATTATGGGCAGGCCCTGTTACACAGTTTAGGCACTGGCTTTGGCTGTGCTTTGTTTATTTTTTTGGTTGAGATTTTTATGTGTTTTTAATAGTCCTTCATTAAACTAATGACCACTTGACAGCAGGAGCATCATGAACGCCTAATTGCTCAGCACCCGTCTGTGTTGTTCCAAAGCAGTTTTTAAGTGACTGGATATTTCTGGTGGTGGGTGGAGAAACTGTGAGATCCTGCCCAGAACAAAGGGTGCTTGAGGGAGAAGAAAGCTTCTGGATGGAGGGTTCTGGAAAAGCTTCTACTAATGGGACCTCATGCTGGTCTTGTGTCTGAACTTAGACTTGCTCTTCATTTTTGTTGGCAGGAAGCCTGTAAGTGGATCTGTGCCTGCTACCAGGACAGAGGGTGGTTCCTGGGGGGCAGAGACTGATGGGGGTTGAGGAACATTTATCGTCCTTCCTCTGGCTGTCTTTGAAACAGGATCAGTTACCATCATTCCTGCCAGCTTGCATCAGAGCTGGGATTTTTGCCTTGCATCAGAGCTGGGATTTTTGAAAACCGAGAAACAGGCTCTTTTGGCAGTAACTGAGTCTAACTGTTCCATCATACAGATAAGGAGACAGAGATCCAAAGAGATCAAATCACTCAAATGTAGCAAATATTGGCACAGTTGAAGTATGAACATGGGTTCCAAGAATCTTAGTCTGGTGTTCTTTGGTTACCATGTACAGCCTGATTTTTCTGATTTGGTCCTGTTGACTAAGATGAACCTCTCCCTTGTCAGAGGCTGCCAAAGCAAGGACAAATGGACGTGCGTTTCTTTTATTACATAATTAATAGGGGTTTTTTTTGTTTTTTTCTGATTATAAAAATAGTGCACAATCATTGTGTTTCACCCAACAAAAAGATGTAAAGAAAGTAAAAGTCACCGATAATTCCTAAATCCTGATAAAACCATTGTTGATGGTTTTCGTATACCTTCCAATCCTTTTAGTGAGGGTACATATATATATATATATATATATATATATATATATATGGCCCTTTTAAAAACAAAAACTGGATCTTACTGTTCAAGTAGTTTGACATGTTTTATTCTTTCACATTAAATTAACAGTCTTTAGTAATTTTCATTCTAGCAAAGAAATGTACATTCTTTTTTGAATGTATTCCAAAACATGAGGGCATTTAAGTTACCAAAAAAAAAAAAGAAAGAAAGAAAGAACAGCTCGTTACAAGAATAAAACCAAAAAGAAAATTTAAGGTTTTATGCAAAATCATTTTGTAGCAGTGCAGTTTTACTGCCTTTATAATGTCCTTTACTAGGCAGCCCAAGTGGCTCAGTGGTTTAGCGCCGCCTTCAGCCCAGGGCCTGATCCTCTAGTCCCATGATCGAGTCCCACGTTGGACTCCCTGCATGGGGCCTGCTTCTCCCTCTGCCTGTGTTTCTGCCTCTCTCTGTGTGTGTCTCTCACAAATTAATAAATAAAATCTTAAAAAAAAAAAAGAATGTCCTTTACTTCTAACCTGTATTAATCTCCAGTAAGGGAATATCTTTTTATTTTTGATTTTTTAAAAAATTTTATTTACTTGAGAGAGAGACACACAGATAGCAAGAGAGAGCATGAGTGGGGAAGAGAGGGAGAAGCAGGCTTCCCACTGAGCAGGGAGCCTGACGTGGGGCTGGATCTCAGGGCCCTTTTATCACGACTGGAACTGAAGACAGATGATGCTCAACTGACTGAGCCATTCAGGCACCCTGGGAATATCTTTTTTATTTTTTTTAAGATTTTATTTATTTATTCATGAGAGACGCAGAGACACAGGCAGAGGGAGAAGCAGGCTCCATGCAGGGAGCCCGACGTGGGACTCAATCCCCGGTCTCCAGGATCACACCCTGGGCTGAAGGTGGCGTTAAACCGCTGAGCCACCTGGGCTGCCCAGGAATATCTTTTTAAAATATCAACTTTATTGGGCACATGGGTGGCTTAGTGGCTGAGTGCCTGCCTTTGGCTCAGGTCGTGATCCCAGGGTCCTGAGATCAAGTTCCTCATTGGGCTCCCCACAGGGAGCCTGCTTCTCTCTCTGCTTATGTCCCTGCCTCTCTCTGTGTGTCTATCATGAATAAATAAATAAAATCTTTTTAAAAATAAAATAAAAAATAAATATCTTTATTTAGGCATAATTCATGTATATGACCTGCATCCATTTAAAGTACCTAATATAGTGGGTTTTAAAAGTTGTGTACATGTGCCCTGAAAATCACCACCATAATATAGAACATTTCCATGATCCCCAAGCTATTCTTCATGTCCTTTTCACTCCTTACCCCAGCCAGGCAGCCACTGATCTGCTTTTGTACATTACAGTTTGTATTTTCTAGAACTTTCATAATGCAGTTGTACAGTATCTACTCTTCTACGTGTGGCTTCTTTCACTGAGGGTGTATCTTTGTTTTAATGTAAATTTTAAGTGGCACTTATAGAAAAGCACAAAAATCATAACTGTACAGCTCAAACTTATGTTATTTTTAACAGATGCTTTATCAGGATTAGGTTTCATTAACAGAGACCCAAAATAATAGTGGCTGGACACAGTAGAAGCTAATTTCCTTCTTATGTACAAATCCTGAATCCATGTGATAGCTTCATACCACAGAATTCTCAGGGAGCCAGGCTCATTCCTTGCTTGCAAGGTCCTTGTCGTGTTCTAAAATGATGACCAAAAAAAAATAAATAAATAAAAATAAAATGATGACCAGAGTTCCAATGGTCACATCTGCCTCCCAGGCAATAGGGTGGGAAAAAAAAGAAAGAATAAAGGGCATGTGGTGGCTGTCCTTTAAGGCACATTCTGGGAAGTCACATTGTAATAATTTGGCTTCATCTCAGTGGGCAGTACTTAATGGTGTGACTATACCTAGCTGCAAGGGACATTGGGAAATAGTTTTTTTCCCTCCCTTAGTTAGCTATATACTTACATGAAAGTCAGGGACTCTATGACTCTGGAAGAAAGTAGATTGGGGGATAAACCCATTATCGGTGGCACAGCCACATGACATTCCCTTGTAGGGCTGTTCTATAGTGAGGTTAAGCACCCTGATGTCAGGGCATGTAAGTTCCTTCCAGGGACTGAGATAAACCAAGCTGTGATACACAGCCTCATGCCTCATGGCTAGCCAGGGCCACTGCTGGATCCTGACAGCCCTGTGGCTATTTGCATTGACATTCGAATTAATCAAAACTAAATAAAAAAATTAACAGTTCAGTTTCAGAGTCACAGTAACCCCATTCAAAGACAGTTGCCACATAAGTCTTAAGTGAGTCTCAGGTGGCCAGTGACGACTCTGTTGCATGAGCAGATATAAAACATTTAGATCATGGGGCACCTGGGTGGCTCAGTGGTTGAGCATCTGCCTTCCGCTCAGGTCATGATCTCGGGGTCCTGGGATTGAGTTCCACATCAGGCTCCCTGCATGGAGCCTGCTTCTCCATCTGCCTGTGTCTCTGCCTCTCTGTATCTCTCATGAATAAATAAATAAAATCTTAAAACAAAAGAAAACATTTAGATCATTGCAGGACCTTCTGCTGGATATCACTGCTGAATCTAAGGCCTTCTCATTGGGGTGCCCAGCCTGGTGGGCTAATTGTGAGCTTGACCTCAGCCCTCCTTGAACCTCAGCCAGGCTGCCTTATGTGGAGCCCAATCTGCAAGCTGTACATGGTGCCCTCTGCAATCAGAGTTCTCCCTTAGGCCTAGAGCACCAGGAGCTGGCCTCTGGCAGAATCAGAGGGAGTGTTGCCCATACAGCAGTGACCATTGCCAGGCTTTCACTGGAAGT